ATGCAATCTTTGGATGTCTGGCTTTTGTCTATAACACTATAGATATTAATGATGATATGATGCAAGCAAAGTCCTGTTTTTCCACTTAGGCTTGTGATCTCAAGGTCTGCAAGCAAGTTTCTTAGTGCTACTGTGAGACCAGACTATTTAATGTCATGTAGACAATTTGAAGATTTCCATTGTCCTTTTCTCCCACCCGCAACTAGAAGAATAGGCAGGACCACGCAGTAATAAAGAGCCTTAGGACACATGTACCAAACTCAGCTATACTAAGGTTAGCATGTCTCTGGTTTTGCATTGGGGTTTTTTTGTGGTGCATGTGAACACTAATGTGTGCTGAGCAGGTGCTTGCTATTTGATACTTTCCTGCACTTCTTTGGTACCTAAACCCAAAGGATTAAATCTACATGTGCATATACATACTCACTGAAATGTGTAAATTCTATTTTATGACTAACAACAATCAACTCAAACTTTGAGTTGCTGAGCTAAGGAATATTTGTAAAAGCATTGTTATTGTTCAAACACAAAACTGTGACAGGATGTGGTTTTTGCAAGGGCGTCGGGGGTAAGGTTTGACTATACTGAGTAATTGCTTACTGTCTGCATGGTATTTTAAATTCTATTTTTAAAAAAAATCTTGTCTCCCTGATTTTCTGATCTAACATTTACCTCAAAAGCAACACAAAACTACAAAAACTGTCATGTTATCACTGCCTAGCACTGCTGTTTTGTACAATTATGTAGCTTGAAACCTAGGAGCAACTCACAGTATTACTGCTCAGATCCTAGAAGCTAAAGGACATTACCTGGTAACTAACATACGTTCATGTCCCATCATTTGTTGAAATACTTCCCCAGACTTCTCCATGGACAAATCAATTTTGTTTGTTTAAAAAATAAAGCATCTTAAAATAGAAAACAAAAGGTCCAGCAGTTGGAAATCAAACCCAAGTAAAACCAGGTGACACTATTGACTATGAAGGTAACCATTAAAATGCTGTAACTAAGGATCTGTAATTTGAAATAATTTAAATAATTAAGTAAAAGCTATGTACCCTTCGGAAATGTATGATCTAGTTCTGAGAATCACCTAGTGAAGATCCATGAGCAGAATAGATAGACAGTCACAAGACAAGAAGGGGTGAACGGTTCTTTCTATCCTGGTTCAGGTTTTCTGTGTTTCTTGGCAAAACAGTTGCTATGAGTATTGTCCTAATGACATATTATCTGGACTTGCTATCACCCTGTAATCTAGAGATTGGGCACCGAGAAGAATATGTGACGTATGGTTAGTTAATATCTAATATTAGTTTAATATCTAATGTATCCCATGTAAAGTGCCCTGATGTAGAAGAATAGTGGAATTGAGAGCACCATGTGAGTTGGAAAAAAGTTCAAATCCCTGTGTCAGAGAGAGAGATGTCACACAGGGCCTCAGGGGTCCCTCTGAAGTCTGTGTAATTCCTTCACAAAAGCCAGAATCCATGGGATTATGTACAAAGGCCTGTGTTACACATAGGAAGCTACTTTCTCCACCTCTATAAGCAAGAAAGGGACTCATTCTCCTCCAATCTATTAGTTGCATCTCAGGTTATTGCTTTCAGCCCCTTCTCTTCTGTACAGAAGGGTTCTGGGGCTATGTATGAAATTTAGCTCTTGGGAATGTTTCTTTTGGCACCTCATTTCACTTCTAAGCAAATAGTCTGAGATGACAGAGTTTTGCAGTTTCATTAACTCTGCTAGCCTCTCTGTCTGAAGAGTTTAAGGGCTTGCATTGTTAAGAGCAATTGTTGTCTGCATCTGTATTTTTCAAACAACATCTGTATTATTGGGAGCAATATTACTCAGAGTAAGAGAACATCGCATTGACCTCAGAGGAAGTTTGGAAAATAGTCTTTTGGACAAAACTGCATTTTTATACGCGTCCAGTGTTTCTTCCTTGTTCCAAGTTTGGTTTACCATGATGGGTCATCATGGTGTCTTAAGGCAGAGGAGGAGCCAAAATGCATGCCTCTTGCTACAGACGTTTCTCCGTTAACATCCTCATCTGGACACTCCTGGCTATGTGCAGGCTCCGATTCCTGTCTGTAGAGAGTGGCTTGGCAGCCTTGCTCTCTGGCTACCACACAGCCTCACCCAGTCAGAGGTTTGGCATCTGCAACTCGCCCACCCATCTGCAGCATACTTACTCACAGAAGGAAGGCCCAAAAAGTTAGATTCCCTTGGGTTTCCCTAGGAATGCAGTTGCAGAAGATCAATATAGGAAGCTGTGACTTAAACAGAAGTGGTGAGAAGAAGGAAAGGAATGTTGTGGTCGTGGTTCAGGACCCAAGAGATGTAACACTGATTTAGCTCCTTTGCTACTCCCTGACTTACTTCACAGAAGTCTTGTAGCAATCTCCAGGCTTTGGCTTTCCAACTGTATGTTGACTTAGCACTTCTCCTGTCTTAAACTTTGTCAAGACCTGGTGCCTGAAGTAATGGGTCTTTATGTAAGATTGAAGTGAACTCACAGAATTATAGAGATGTCTGCAAGATATTTAACTGTGTGATTTAAAAGAAAATGTTACTTGAATGTATTTTAATCAGCTACAAAATGTTATATTCAGCATGTTATATAAGCACAAAGACATTCAGATGAAAAATGGCCAATTCAAAATATATTAAAATTAACAATGTATGAGCAAGTCATGTAATGTAATCCTTCGAGGATCAAAATAGTAAGGAACAGAATAACCATCGAATGTTTAAAATTATCTCACATTACTTCCAAAAAGTGACCAAGTTTTATCTGATGATGTACTGTCAATGAGGTTTGTACATGAACATCCTCTTCCACATGTTGCTTCCAAATGTTAAACTCTTCACGTCCACAAATGGTTGAGTTGACTGGTGCAAAAGAATTAAACCAGCCATTGTCTGGCTTCAACAAATTTCATTACAAAGTTAATATTAGCATGTTCTGTTGATGTAGTCAATATACGTCAGGATCACTGGTCAAATTAGGAACAGCCATGCTGTCTCAGACCAAGGGCCTGTCTAGGCTGATATCCTTTTACAACATGAGCAAGGGAAATCCTAGACGGCAACCATGCAAGGTCATTGCTTTTTGAGCTGCCTTGGGAGTCTGGAGAGGTCCCAGGTGACTGGAAGCGGGTGAATGTTATTCAAATTTTCAAGAAGGGCAAGAAGGAGAACCCCAGAAACTACAGGTTGTCTCAGCTCAGTGCCTTGTAAAGTTATGGAGAAAATTATTCTGGAGGTATTGAAAAACATCTGTAGAAGAATAGTGGAATTGAGAGCACCATGTGAGTGGGAAAAAAGTTTGAATTCCTGTGTCAGAGAGAGAGATGCCACACAGGGCCTCAGGAGTCCCTCTGAAGTCTGTGTAATTCCTTCACAAAAGCCAGAATCCCCTTTTAAGTCTGCTGATATTGTCTGCCTCCACAAACTCCTGTGACAACAAGTTCCAGAAGTTCACCAACCTTTGTGTAAACAAGGTTCTTAATTTTAGCTGTTCCATACTAGTCTACTGCAAATTCAGTGAGTGCCTGCATTTACAGTCTTGTGGATTATGATGAAAAATAGTTTCATGTTCTTTTTAACCACTTTGCAAACCTCATGAATATTCCATTCAACCTCCTTCTTTCCAAATTTAAATGTCCCAGGGTTTTTATTTTTTTTTTTATTTTACGGCAGCTACTCCATCATCCTGATTGTTTTAAGAGCCTTCCTCTGCACTTTATTTATTTCCTGCACCCTGTAGATGTGAAGACTAGGACTACACACAGTATGCCAAATGCAGGTGCAACAAAGTCTTCAGCACTGGCAAAATAATTCCCATGATGTTGTTCTCCATACACTTTCTGGGGACATAGAGCACTCCACTGCTTCTCTTTAGGTTGCTGCTGCACACTAAGCCAATTTCAGAGAGCTGAGATTACTCCAAATGTTTGAGTGCACATTGAGCTGCTGAATGTAGACCTGACAACTGCAACTTTACACATGATATACATAATTTCTACTTCACAGAATTACAGAATCACAGAATGGATAAGGCTGGAAGAGACTGGAGGTCACCGTAGTGCAACATCCCTGCTCAAGTAACATCCCTTAGAGAACATTACTCAGAATTCTGTCCAGATGGCTTTTGAATATCTCCAGAGAAGGAGACTCTTTAACCTCTCTGGGCAACCTGTTTCAGAGCTCAGTCACCTGCACAGTAAGGAATTTCTTCCTCATATTCGGGTGGAACTTCCTGTGTTTGCCCATTGCCTCTTGTCTATTGCTTGGTACCATCGAGAAGAGCCTGGCTTCATCCTCTTGAACACCCTCCCTTCAGACAGTTATATGCATTGATAAGACTCCCTCTCAGTTTTCTCCAGGCTAAACTGGCCCAGCTACCTCAGCTTTTCTCATAAATGAGGTGCTACAGCCCCCAAATCATCTTTGTGGCCCTGTACTTCTATGTGTCCTCTTTTGGTTTTGCACTGGTGAAACTCGCTGTCTTTTTGCCCATTCACTCAGCATTTTATTAGCTGAAAGGTTTTAGTATCATTGCCAGACTTGGATATTTCACCATGTTGTGGTATAATTATGTTCCTCTCAGCAGATCACTGATAAAGATGTCAATTAAAACCAGTCCCAAGAGCACCTGCCAAGGCGCACCACTACTGAAATGATGCTTCCTCTCTTCTAACCAATTTTAATTACAGAATAGTATAGCTTATTAATATAATAAGTAAATAAATCATACAGACACAGCTAGCTTGAGGGTTCACTGCCAAATTCTCTTTATTCAAATGAGACAACAGCTTACATATGGGTTCAATAGTGACATGTCACACCATGGGACCTTATCAACCAATCACCATGGGTATCTCACTGTCCATGTCATAGATTACTTCAGGACTTCATTTCCCAGGAAGCTTCATCCAGCATCCTTCCTAAAACCCAATCCCTACGGAATAGGACCTTTACTCCAGTTCTGTGGTGACCTAATTTCTGTAATTTTCAGGGCCTGAGGGCAGCAATAAGCCTTAATTGCCCTGACCAGCTTCATCTGGGGCCACATCCACACCTCTAACTGAGAGCCCAGGGGCTCCATTTCAGCCTAGCCCTGAGCTATACTGCAGGTAATCTTGTTCTTGGCCTTTTGTCCTTGCTGCCCTGACTTACTGGCTGAGATTTTGTTGTGTTGCTGGCATAGCCTTATCTCTAGACCTGTCTCATGATTGGACTATGCTGTAGGTAAACTCCTACTCTTATCTCTTGTTTCTCCCGGCAGAGCATCCTGGTTTGACCCCGGATTGACTCTGGACGTGACTCAGCACCTGACTTTACCCTGCCTGGGGATCACTGGGTGATGTAAGCCACTCCTTTTGGTCACCCACCTGGCGTTGCTGAAGCACTGGGGTACAGAGCCCAAGTGTGAGGGCACTGCTTGTGCTGAGCTTACACTTGGCCCTTGGCTTAGCCCCTCTTGGAACAGCTCTGCTCCTGCTGCTTTCTGACTAATAATTTTACTTTGGAGCTTTTTAAAGGCCTTCAGGAGGCCTCTGATATGCTGCTGTATCAGGACAACCACTCAGTGCCTGCCCAGTGCTTCCTCTGCCCTAATTTTTAGGTAACCATCACTGGAGTAGAAACACTTTCATGCTGTGCTTTTGATCTGTTGCTCAATATAACATCCTAACTTTTTTCTTTATTGCATATGCTATTTATTTTTCTCTTACCTTTTTCGGGATGTCTCAGGTGTACCCAACTAACTGAGTCTCGTCATTGCTCTGAGTAGAGAGAACAACTTCACCCTAATGTAAACATGCTGTTGGCAGTGTTTCAGTTACTTTGGCTGTCTAAAATGATCCTAGATATTCATGCTCACGAATCTGAGACATCCTCAGTGGGCCAGAAGATATGATACAGATATGAACCATGACTTTTGAGACCTGCTGCTAGAGGCTGTATAGAGTACTCTAGAGCACCTGAAAGGGCATTATAGATGGTTATGTGTGGCAACCTGAATTAAGTTCCTGACCCTGTTCAGCGCCATTCAAGGTAATAATACATATCTGGTCTTTCTTGTCACAGCCCATTCCATGTACATCTGTACTCGAACACAAGGGAAGATGATAAACAAAAGGTGTTTTGTTTTGGGTTTGTTTGTTTGGGTTTTCTTGGGGATTTCGGTGATTTGGGTTTTTTTGTTTGTGGGGTTTTGTGTGTCTTTTGTTTTTTTCTTTCAGAGACATAGTTTTAGCATGAGATATTTTGGGGTATCCTTGTCTGAGTGTAAAACAAAAAAGATTGCTGAGTGATTTGGCAGAGACTGGAAAAGCTGAATAAAAATTTCAAGGGGAAAAAAAGGTAATCAAAACAGCATGGCAGCTGAAGCATATTTAAAAATGTTTAGCTTTTGGAATAATTTTTATCATTTCCCTAGTGGCCATTTACACTGCCAAAACTACTACTCTCCACTACAGTATTACTTCCTACATATAAACAAACATTCTACAAAGCCAGAGCTACATTAACACTTTGGTTAGGGTAAACCCTACTCTGATTTTTTTGGATTATGGACATGTAAGTTACTGTACTTTTTCTAGGAACTGAATTGTTAAATGACATTGTCTTTAGACACTTCTTTGTTATTGGCTTAGATGACAAGAGAAATGGAAATATCTTAGAAGGAAGATGTGTCGTGGGTTTTTTCTTTTTAATTGTGGTTAGCTTGTGATATTTTGTAGCATGGAGCTTTTGCATTCTTTTAATAACCCCCTAAATTTTTATACACATTTCAGTCAAATAACTAGCATTAACACACCTTTAGGCTTATATTCAAATTTGCTCTGTGTTCTGAGTAGTCACTGCTCTCGGGGAAAGATTTTTCTTCATAATTCTTCAGGCCCTAATAGAAACCTTTTATGTAGATGATATTTATAACTCTTACACAGGGAGCATTAAAACTTAAGAAATGGGAGAAAGACTGTAGGATGGGTCAACATTTGTTTTGTTTTTTTCGACCATGGGGCAAATTCTATGGTACCTAGCCTGCTAGAGTCAGATGGGCTTCATCTATCTAGCAAGGGCAAAAGGACTCTAGCCCATAGGTTGTCAGGGCTGATCAGGAGGGCTTTAAACTAGGTTTGAAGGGGGAAGGGGCTGAAACCAGGGTCTCCAGAGATGAACCTATGGGTGGAAAGCCAGAGTTAGAAGTGAAATCGTTAGCCCAGCTGAAGTGCAGGTACACCAATGCACACAATAAGGGTAACAAACAAGAGGAGCTGGAAACCACCATGCAGCAGGAAAGCTATGATGTAGTCACCATCACAGAAATGTGGTGGGATGACTCCCATGACTGGAGTGCTGCCCTGGATGGCTACGAGCTCTTCAGAAGGGATAGGTAAGGTAGGAGAGATGGAGGAGTGGCTCTATATGTTAAAGAGTCTCTTGATGCTGTAGAACTTGGAGTAACAATAAGGTTGAGTGTCTGTGGATCAGAATCAGGGGGAAGGCCAACAAGGCTGACATCCTGGTGGGAGTCTGCTATAGACCACCCAACCAGGATGATGAGGGTGATGAATTATTCTACAAGCAGCTGGTGGATGTCTCAAAATCACCAGTCCTTGTCCTTGTGGGTGACTTTAACCTGCTGGATGTCTGCTGGAAACTCAACACACCAGAGAAGAGGCAGTCTAGGAGATTCCTAGAGTGTATAGAGGATAATCTCCTGCTTCAGCTGGTAAATGAGCCTACCGGGGTGGGGCCCTGCTACACCTGCTGTTCACAAACAGAGAGGGCCTGGTAGGAGATATGGTAGTCGTAGACTGTCTGGGGCACAGTGACCATGAAATAAGAGTTTTCAATAGTCAGGGATGCAAAGAAGGCCATCAATAAAACTTCTACCCTGGGCTTCCGGAGGGCAGATTTCAGCCTACTCAGAAAACAGGTTCAGAGGGTACCTTGGGAAACAGCCCTTGAAAAAAAAGGAGTCCAAGAGGGCTGGACACAGTTCAAGAAGGAAGTCTTGAATGGACAGGAGCAGGCTGTCCCAGTGTGCCGAAAGGTGAGCTGGCGGGGAAGACATCCAGCTTGGGCCAAACAGGGAGATTTTGAAGGAAATTAGGGGAAAAAAAGAGAGCTTACCAACTATGGAAAAAGGGGCTGGCTACTCATGAAGAGTCTAGGAATATAGTTAGGTCATGTAGAAAGAAAATTAGAGAGACAAAGGCACACTTTGAACTCAATCTAGCCATTTCTGTTAGGGATAACAAGAAGTGCTTCTACGAATACATTAATAGCGGAAGGAGGGGCAAGGAAAACCTCCATTCTTTGTTGGATGTGGGGGGGAACACAGTCACCAAAAATGCAGAAAATGCTGAGGTACTTCACACCTTCTTTGCCTCAGTGTTCAACAGTAAAACAGGTTGTCCTCAGGACAACTGGCTTCCAGAACTGCTAGACAGAGACAGGAAGCCAAATAGCCTCCCTTGTAATCCGGGAGGAAACAGTGACCTGCTGAGCCACTTGGATCCTCACAAGTCTATGGGACCAGATGGAATCCATCCCAGGGTAATGAAGGAGCTGATGGAAGAACTCCCCAAGCCGCTCTCCATAATTTACCGACAGTCCTGGCTCACTGGGGAGGTCCCAGATGACTGGCAGTTGGTGAATGTCACGCCAATCCACAAAAAGGGCTGCAAAGAGGACCCGGGAAACTACAGGCCCATCAGCCTGACCTCAGTGCCTGGCAAGGTTATGGATCAGATCATCCTAAGTGCAATCACACAGCATCTACAGGATGGACAAGGGATTAGACCCAGCCAGCACAGGTTTAGAAAGGACAGGTCCTGTTTGACCAACCTGATCTCCTTTTATGATCAGGTGACCTGCCTGGTGGATGAGGGGAAGGCTGTGGATGTGGTCTGTCTGGACTTCAGCAAAGCCTTTGACACCATCTCCCACAGCATACTCCTGAAAAAGCTGCAACCTATGGCTTGGACAGGGGAACTGTCTGCTGGGTTAAGATCTTGCTGGAGGGCCAGGCCCAGAGAGTGGCGGTGAATGGTGCTGTATCCAGTTGGTGGCCGGTCACTAGTGGTGTCCCCCAGGGATCGGTGTTGGGCCCAGTTCTGTTTAATATCTGTACTGATGATCTGGATGAGGGGACTGAGTGTACCATTAGCAAATTTGCAGATGACATCAAGCTGGGGGGGAATGCTGATCTGCTGGAAGGCAGGAGGGCTCTTCAGAGGGACCTGGACAAGCTGGAGAGTTGGGCTGATTCCAGTGGGATGAGGTTCAACAAGGCCAAGGGCCGGGTCCTCCACTTTGGCCACAATGGCCCCATGCAGCCCTACAGGCTGGGCAAAGAGTGTCTGGAGAGCAGCCAGGCAGAAAGGGACCTGGGAGTTTGGATTGACAGGAAGCTGAACGTGAGCCAGCAGTGTGCCCAGGTGGCCAAGAAGACCAATGGCATCCTGGCCTGGATCAGGAACAGTGTAGCCAGCAGGTCCAGGGAAGTGATTCTTCCCCTGTACTCAGTGCTGGTGAGGCCACACCTGGAGTACTGTGTCCAGTTCTGGGCCCCTCAGTTCAGGAAGGATATTGAGGTGCTGGAGCAGGTCCAGAGAAGAGCAACAAGGCTGGTGAATGGACTCGAGCACAAGTCCTATGAGGATAGGCTGAGGGAGCTGGGGCTGTTCAGCCTGGAGAAGAGGAGGCTCAGGGGAGACCTCCTCACTCTCTACAACTCCCTGAAAGGAGGTTGTAGCCAGGTGGGTGTCAGTCTCTTCTCCCAGACAACCAGCAGTAGGACAAGAGGGCATGGTCTTAAGCTCTGCCAGGGCAGGTTTAGGTTGAATATTAGGAAAGAATTTTTTACAGAGAGAGTGATCAGACATTGGAATGGGCTGCCCAGGGAAGTGGTGGGTTCACCATCCCTGGAGGTTTTTAAGATGAGGCTGGATGTGGCACTGAGTGCCATGGTCTAGTAACCACGGCGGTGTTGGATCAAGGGTTGGACTTGATGATCTCAGAGGTCTTTTCCAACCCAGTTGATTCTATGATTCTATGAACATGGGAACAGTACTGGAGGTGAGTATATAAGAGGTAGTTAATGTATGGCATTAATCAGGATAATAACCTCTCAGAGACTCAGTAAGGTAGGGCCTGTTCTACACGGTGCCTGCTCCAGAGAGAACTCAATGTGAAACAGTGTACACAGAGTCTCAGTCATGTGAAAAGTCTATCTATCTTAGAAATGCCTGTGACCAAATTAATCACCTGATTTGAAATCTATTTAGTGTCCATACATTGTGTGGGGTCAAGATGACAGAATGTATTTAAAGACTAGACTAAAAGCTTCC